ACCGGTTTATTTACGAAGTATACGCAGATACGAGGCATTTACACGTTTATATGAATACCCTGATTATTTGTGATCGAAAAAAAAGATCAAATAGATAATAATTATTTCCATTGACCGGAAAAATAAAACTCAATAATAATTATTATTTTTAAGTGAAAAAAGTCATAAAATAATGTTTAAATGCTGATTTAAATTATGTTATTCATATTGATTGCAGTCCCACCTTATACGGCGTTTCGCCACAAATCTCATAAAATGAACTTCTCTGTTTCCTACATTTTTCCAAAAATTCAAAGTCAACATTTTTATACTTAGAAAAAGCACAAATGACTGTCAGAAGCCTTTATTTTCTACATTTTTTAATAGTAGGAGATCCGACAAAGGCACGACCTTCACCCATGTGTTTAATGGAAGAAATCTACTTTGTATGAAATTTAACGTGGAAATATTTCGCGAGTGGGTTGGTTGAAAAAATCTTGGCCATGATATTTTTAATTAAATTATTATTATTATTTTTTTTTTAATTTTGCACTCATTTGTTTCATGAACAAATTACATAAGCATAAAGCCTATAGAATGTGTGAAACAGTTGAGTGAAAATTACTAATATTACCTACCGCCAACCCGACAGGTAGGCCAGGAAAAAATAGACAACCCAACGTTTTCACATTCTATAGGCCTAATACTTTCGATTGGTATATAATTTGTTCATTAAACAAATGAGTACAAAATTAAAAAAATAATAATAATTTTAGAATATTTAATTATAAATATCCTGGGTAGGATTTTTTCAGCCAACCCATTCGCAAAATCTTTATTAACACGTTAAATTTCATAGAAAAAAAATTTCATCCATTAAACAGATGGGTGAAGGTCGTGGCCTTTGTGGGACCTTAAGGTGCCCACACTCACCGAAGTGTACGTATGCCGTGTCTGTTTGACGTAACAATATATAAAATTTACTGTTGATTGAGAGAGAGAAGCACGCGTAATCGTCGCACGAACACGGTGGTGAGTTTTCATTTACATGACGCTCTGATAAGTTTGATCGTGTCAGCTGACACGTTAACGACCGTGGAAACACAATGCCGGCGAACAGCGAACTCACCACAGCGAAATTACCGCTGTCAAAATTAGAACACCCGCCGGCATATGAAATTGAACACAGCCAAAGCGAAATGCGAAGTTCGCTCGGCGGCGTTTCGTGGCGATAGATTTATTTCTATCGCTCTGTTGAAAAATACAGTGATCGATTCGTTAAATCTGGCTTAAAATAAAATAATTTATAATAATTCCCCCTCGCCTTATATTTTTATATTTGTTATCATTTCATCATTTTTAAATATGGTTTCGTTTTTCAAAATATGGTCACCTAACTTATAAGTGCGACGAAATGGTATCAGCTGTTTTCGCTACCGCTCTAATTCTGTTAAATTAGGTGAAATAGCAGGGCGAACGGTGAACGACGGCATCGCCCAATTCGGCGAACTTCGCCGGGTAAATGAAAACTCACCACCGTGTACGTGCGACGATTATGCGTGCGTCTCTCTCTCTCTCTCTCTATCAACAGTAAATTTTATATGTTGTTACGTCAAACAGACGCGGCATACGTACACGTCGGTGAGTGTGGGCACCTTTAGACTATAACCGAATTGGATGATTCTTGTTTTGTTTAAAATGCGGACAGCAAGAGTACGGTTTATTTTCTTTTCCTAATGCGGGATGGCAGGGTTAGTTTTTGGAAAAACCCGGTCCGCAATGCCAATTAGAGATAAAATAAATTTCTTTTGTAACAGGTCCTTTAATAAATGAGAAACAAGAATAATCTTGTGGATTCGATTCATAATTTTTTTTTTTTTAACTACAAAAATTTATTTCTGTTAAGAATGAAACGTTCATAAAAATGAATAATGATTTGATAAATTGTGGGAAAAATTCTGTTGCATTGAACATTTTTTTTTTACCACAAATCTCTTTCAATGATGTTAACGATTTTTTTCTGACATTTATGATCTGGGATGGATATTGTTCAATCCGCGAAGTCATGTAAAAATTATTTATCATGAATAGGTTGGGTTTTTCAGGGTTTTACAAAACTTCTGAACAAATTCTACTTGAGTTTTATTTTCTCAATAGATAACACTAGGCTTTTATGTACATATAATGCATAGAAATGTTAAATGCATAATAAAAAAAACACACACCAGGCATATACTTTTATATGTGACTGTGGTTGAACAAAACTCTTGACAACTTATATATCTATTTACATAGTATATGTATGTATATATATGTATACCTATATATATGTACTTAGTAGACTTTTTGTATGTGCATACATAGTTATGTGGCTTGTATTTGCTTTTTTTAGTCGAGTGTACTTATGTAGATTCCCACGGTGGTTGACTTTGTAAAAATCAAGAATGAAAGAATGCAAGATTGCGCCCATTAGAGAGAATTTTTGATAATAATTTTTGTGTGTCGTCACACTGGTGCAGTTGCGAAGTTGTTGCAGGTCACTGAGATTTCACGCAGAGGATTTGTAGGTATATATTAAGAAAAATTTTAAATTTCAGTAAAAACGGATGAAGGACACTAGAACTGAAAACTAAACACAGAGGTTTTATGTACCAAATTTAGTCCGATTGCAAAAAATTCTATATTTTCAATATATCTTTGGTAAATATTACTCGCTCTGTCCCTAATAATTACCAAATTGAAGGCGAGACTTACTGTTACTAATTTATGATAATAATATGATGAAAATCGTTCAGATTATAAAAAAGAATATTGAAACAAGAAAGGTGAACAAAACTTTCTGTCAACTTCCTATATTTGCAATTTTTATATTGTATGCATAAACATATGTAGGTAAACTAATTAGTGTTTGTAGAAGTTGTGCCTGTTCAGTGTTTCCATAGCCATTTTCCTAAACAAAATTTTTCCACGGTGACGGAAAATAATGGCTTTTATATTAGAGCTAACGACATTGTTCCTAAAATTGAAAAAATTCGCAACTATAGCTAGATAATATTAAAAGAAGATTAGAATAGTTGGAGCCAGCGACCTAAATGCACCCCAGTATTTCTGTTCTATTCTTTACATCTTTTGACTAGTGCAATTATCAAGAGAACAATTAAAATTTTACTGAGAAAAGATCAGTTTTAGATGAAAGGTAAGCTAAAGGGCTTATCTAATAATATGCACCAAACCTTTTTGCTGAACCCAGAATTTTTAACAAGAATTGGTCATATTCGACTAGTGTGCTGTGTGTCACTTGGCGGTTGATGCGCGGGCTCTTACAATTAAAATAAAATACTAATATTTTGCAGGCTTGTTGTTGACTTCATTATACAATAGATATATTTTCATTATTAACAAGGGATTTGAGAAAAATTAGATTTTCCACCCGCCCTAAAGCACAATGTTTGGTTCTGAAAAACTTTTGTTAAATTATCTCGCATACTCTCATTTACTAATCATAGAATATGAATTAACTGCCGATATTTGCTTTATCTTATGCCCACTCGTTCTTTAGCACATCATACGTAAGTACTCACTTGCATATACATATGTATGTAGTCGCTCACTAACTGTTTTGAGTATTCTTCCATTAATATTGTTGTTACATATTTTGTTATTTATCTGAAACTGATTCCGTTACAAATATTTATTTTGCTAATGTGGGATTTAATATCTACTGTAAAATAATTCTGAGGTCATGTAGAAGTATAAGCTACATATTTAACATAGCTGCCCGTATATTTTGGTCAACTAAAATTAATTTAAATGACCAAATATAATACACAATATTCTGCAAGTTCAAATATGTGAAAGCTCCTCCTAAAAAATATACGAAATTGGAGCATTTTTAAAGAAACTCCTTTTTTGCAAAATAACGCACGACAAAGTTAAGATTTTGTATTACAGGTTGTGTTACAAATATGGCTTCGGATCAAGGAGTTGCAGCCGAAATACATAAGTGTAATTGAATTGTACATTTTTCCATCCAGCAGGTCTTGTTGATTTAAAGCATAGCATTTTTTTCGGCACTTTAAAAATTCGTAAATGCACTTTTTTTTATGGTACTTAATGCTTATGTCTGAAATAAACACAGGAGAAACCCACGAGCTTCAGAAGAATAAAACATACAGTTGTTTAAGCAGCATAATACAAAAATGTACAACCTTTTGAAATCAACATATAAAAGCCGTTAATTAATTAAGCAGGGATCATACGATTTGTACATTTTTACACAACTCTACATTTTGACAGTTACAGAGTGGGGTTCGGAAAAATTTTTATTGAGCTGAACTCATTCTCGATAAAAATTTCTAGACAACACCACTCTGTTACTGCCAAAATGTACAAGTGTACAAATGGTATGATCCCTGCTTTAGATATTTTCTTTTACAGAATCAAAATTTTGGAAACAAATTGCGGTTATGTTTATTCTCGAGTATTTACCGTCGATTGGCATACAAAATTTTCCGAATTTGCCAACTTAATGTTTACCATTTTTGGCCGCACTCGTTACACTGTGCGCTGCCTTATATTACCGGTTTTTGCTTAGATTATGTTGTTGCTTTTGGTGGTGACTAGTTGCTGGAAATGTGAGCGCTCTGTGGCTGTCATTTCAGATTTTTTTTAATTGTACATATCTATGTATATATGTTCAGCGCACACGCATGTCAGCGCTGCGTTGCTGCCATCTCCGCTGACGAGTGAGTCTACAGCCATTTCGCTTGGTTTGATGCGGCCTTCCTTGCTACAATGCACTTTGCCTTACAATTTTAGAACGCGCTGTTGCGGCCATTCCACTGACTTCTCTTAGCCCGGTCGAAGACACGCTAAAGCAAAAATGCTTATTGTGAATACATATGTATGTATATATATATATATATATAATACATATGAATGTATGCGCGTTTATGTTTTGTTTGTTGACTATCGTACCTCTGCCACGGTTCTGCATTTATGCAAGCACAACACACACCAGCTCGTGCGCTTCGACAACGACATAGTCGTCATCGGCTTGGTCGTTTATATACACTCGTTTTTGTTGGTTTGTTGGTGTATTTTTTCGCTTGAGAGCTCATTACCGTTTCGCTTCGCTAAGTGCGCTGTATCGCTTGGGAGCCAGCAACGCGTTATCCCAAGTCAATCGGCCCGCCAAGGGAAGTCAAACCAAACCAAGTCAAATAACCAAAATCAAAATTCACCAAGCTGTGAAAAAGTCCCGAACTTATACTTTTTTCAAAAGTTTTTCTTTATCGGTGTCTCTGCGCGCTTATGCAATAAATATCATATGCCTGGCTACAGGTGTTCGTCTGTGTATGTGCCAATGGTCAGACGTATCTAATTGCCTAAAATCTCTAAAATTTCACACTTAAAAAGTAGTGAAAAAGAATTAATATTTAAAAGCTCCAACGCGCTAATTAATTAAACGTGCCGGCATGGAAATACTCATATGCGAAAAGTCCGCGACGATCGGGTCAAACAAATCGTAGGAAAACGAATATATAAATTGCGATATTTTAGTGTTTAAAATAGCAAAAAAGTTCAAGGCTGAAACCTGAAACACATATACTACATATGACATCGAGATGCAGGCTCTGGCAGGGAAAAGGAAAAATAAAGGTACATATAAACTAAACATAAAAAACCCACCGCTGCATATAACAGAAACCAAAGTTTCAATTAGAAAATAAATAAACGACTGCAGAAAAATACTTAGCCAACGAAATTTACGGAAAATCACAATTTGTTGTAATTATTGCGCGCCAATTCAAAATGCGACGGTGTTGTGCTATGTAGCACGCTGCTATGTCGAAGCCGTCAGCACCGCGCCGATATTTACAATCCACTAAATCTAATTTGCAAATAATAAAAATTACAACAATAACAATAACAAAATCCGAAACTAAAACGAATTTGGAAATGTTTACGAATCAAATATGCAATTGAAACTCTGACGAAATTATCGTCACGTGATTGTGAGTGAGTACGTTGTATGTGATAATCAAATAATGATATATGTCAATTGCAAAAAAAAAAATTAAAAATATCTGTATAGCTGTGTATGTGTTTTAAATATGTGAAATGAATATGCTGTTTGGGCAAACCAAAAACCCTGTGAAAACCAACTAAATCGATCTCAAAATATGCACATATTTTTGAGAGCAAAATTTGTTGGTTAAAAAATATATACAAAATATATATATCTACAAAATAATAAAAAATAATTTAAAAAATCTAACGAATTCTGCATTAATACACGCTGCCGGATTTTCAGTTCACAATTCTGGATCTCTTAACTCACGCTATATATAATTAATATTTTACAAATCAAAAACATAAACAAACAAAAAACTTTCGATGATGATGCTAACTACAGAGCACCTCATGCATGGCCACGCGACGTCGGTCAGCCAGAGTGCGCTTTTCGGTTGCTCGACGGCTGGACACAGCGGCATCAATCAACTTGGTGGCGTGTATGTCAATGGCCGACCGCTGCCGGATTCTACGCGCCAGAAAATCGTCGAATTAGCGCATTCCGGTGCGCGTCCCTGTGATATATCGCGCATCCTGCAGGTGTCCAACGGATGTGTTAGTAAAATTCTGGGCAGGTAAGCGCTAACTTTGCACCGACGGGTTAAGTGAATACGCACCTTAAACGTAGTATGTAAGAAAAAACACATAAGCTCTGATCCAGTACTCCATGAACTTACAGGTTTTACATGAACTTGCAGGAAGTTACAGGAAAAATTATCCCGTACTCCAAATTCCTCCAAAATCCTGTAAATTAGAGCGATTTTTGGAGAGTGGTGTAGAGAATGAAGTTGCAAGATTTTACCCGAACTTTATCTTCTGGTAAAATCATGAAAAGTGTCAAGCGATCACTGGTTGACGTATTTACAGGAAAAATGCTTTTTTTGTTCCCGAACTTTTTGTTGTTACTCACTTTTTACTCTCACTTCAGAGAGTAATTTTGCTGTTTCACATTTTTACAGGATTTTACACGAAAAGTATTGGATCAGAGCTATTGTGATCTTTGTACTATTCCATTATATATATGTATGTATTTAAAAAGCCGCAGATTCAGGGATGGAGTTTCAAAAATTTCAGAATGTGCATAAAGTACTGCAATCATAGTGCCGAAAAGGAGATGAAAGTACCACAAAATTAAAATTGTTTTATTTAAAAGCGTTTTAAGAAAAATGTATTTTGAGAAATAGTATTTCTAAAGCACACTGATAAATATCATAAAAAGTGATTAAAATGCAAATACTTATACCACCAGAAGACCTTTCTGGCGGTTTTCGGGCACGAAGAATCTGAATCTTCAGGTTATTTTTTACCAAAAATGTCGCAGCTGCTGGGTGCACTATTCTAGTTGATTCCAAAGATATTTTTTTTAAATATTTTTATTAAAAGTTAACAAAACTTAATTTATTTGTATGTTGTTAGCAATTCGAGAAAAGTTTGTATAATAATGAAAATTTTCTGTTTGATTGACGAACCACAAAAATCACATAAATCTAAAATTTCCAAAATTACAAAGTTGAAATGAACACAGTACAATAAAAGGTAATAACACAAATACAAACCCTACAATACTCCCCCTTCTAGAGAATTAATATTATATAAATTAAAAGTAACTCGTTTCTTATTTGATGTTGTGTTATTCATTGTATTAGTGTTTGTTTCTGGTATTACTTCTGTTTCAATGATTGCAGGTTTTAGTCTGTCTATCGGAATTGTTTTAACCTCATTATCTACTTCAAGTTTGAAATATTTTTTGTTTTTTTCAACAACCTTATAAGGTCCTTCGTATGGTTGTTGCAATGATCTTTTATTAATAACACGCATAAAAACAAATTTACAAGTCTCCAAATCCTTTGGTATATATACACCAGTATCAGAATTTTGATTATGCCTTAAATTTGATTTAACATTTTTAAAATGTTCCCGTAAATTGCCTAAAACTTCAATTGGGGAAAATTTTTCTTCAGATGGAACCACAAGTTCACCGGGTAGGCGTAAATTTTGCCCAAAAACCATCTCAGATGATGTGGCTGAAATACTTTCTTTATACATCGATCGTATACCAAGAAGTATTATCGGCAGCTTATCATACCAATTGTTGATTCCATTTCTAGCCATTATCGTAGCTTTTAACTGCCTGTGAAACCGTTCTACCATACCATTCCCTTGAGGATGATACGCAGAAGTTGTAACGTGATGACTACCAAGCAATTTTGTTAGTTCCGAAAACAATTTTGACATAAACTGAGTACCCTGATCTGTAGTGATTTTTAACGGTACCCCAAAACGTGAAACATATTCTCTAAAAAATTTATTTGCAACCACTGCCGCTGAAATGTCCTTTAATGCATATGCCTCGGGCCAACGCGTGAACCTGTCAACTATTGTAAAAATGTAACGTAGTCCTTTCGATACAGGAAGAGGTCCACCAATATCTAAATGAATATGATCAAATCTACTTTTGAGAATCGGAATTTTAATTACTGGAGATTTAGTGTGACGATTAACCTTCGATTTTTGACAATTTATACATTCTTTTGACCAAATATTAATTTCTTTGTGCATTTTTGGCCAATAGTACTTTTTAATAATTAGACGACGTGTAGCTTTTGTACTAGGATGTGTAATGCCATGTAACATATTAAACACTGTCTTGCGTAAACAATTTGGAACAAATGGCCTAGGATTCTCACTTGTCATTTCACACCAAATATTAAAATTTAAAGGTGGAATTTGAATTAATTTAAGGTTATGTGATGTGTCTCCAGATTTAAATGTGTTTAGTTCCTCGTCCTGTTCTTGTTCATTTTGTAAAACTTTGAAATTCAGTTCTGTACACTTAATTGCATCAACTTCGAAAGCTCGAGATAATGTGTCAGCTATAATGTTCTCCTGTCCTTTAATATATCGTATGTCATTAGTAAATTGTGCAATGAATTCCATATGTCTAGTTTGTCTCGGACTACGTTCGGTTTTTGAACTCAAAGCATATATCAAAGGCTTGTGATCTGTAAAAACTGTAAATAGCTAGCAAGTCCCTGTCAAATGCACTGTACTTAACCTCGGATGGAGAAAGTTTCTTAGAAAAAAAGCTAGTGGCTCTGATTTGTTATCAAACGTTTGATGTATGACACCACCAATTGCCGTATTAGATGCATCCACATTTAAAGAGAGTTTGGCATCTTTGTTAAAATGATTTAACAATATCGTAGACGCAAACTTTTCTTTAATACATTCAAAGGCTTTATTTGTTGTGTCATCCCAAATTAAGGACTTGTCACGTTTCTTAGTTGTTCGATTGATTAAATCGTAGATAACTGCCGTAAACTCAGCTAATTTTGGTACATATCGATGGTAATAATTAACCATGCCTATAAATTTCTGCGCCTGTTTAATAGATTTAGGACGTTCAAAACTACGAATAGCTATCACTTTTTCATCAGAGGGTCTAATTCCTGCCCCAGAAATATTATGTCCTAAAAAATCAACATTTGTAACACCGAAAGTACATTTACTTGGTTTGATATTCAACCCGTACTCTGTTAGGCGTTGGAAAAGTATACGGAGATCTTTAAAATGCTGTTCTTCATTTTCACTTGCAACCAATAGATCATCAATATATGTAAAAACAAAATCTAAACCACTAACTACTTCATTAATAAATCTTTGAAAAGTTTGCGCTGAATTTCTTAGTCCGAAAGGCATTCGTATAAATTCAAACATACCGAAAGGTGTCGTTATTGCAGTTTTATAGATATCCTCTTCTGCCATTGGAATTTGGTGGTAGGCCCTTACCAAATCTAATTTCGAAAATATATACTTATTTCTGAGATTCATGTTAAAATCTTGAATATGAGGTAAAGGATCACATTACGGTACAGTCACAACATTAAGTCTCCGAAAATCACCACAAGGACGCCAGTCATTCGGTGCTTTTTTAGGTACAAGATGCAGTGGAGATGCTACACAAGAATTTGAAGGTCTACAAATCCCTGCCCTCACTAAAAAATCGAATTCAGTTTTGGCTACTTTAAATTTAATCGGATCCAAGCGCCTGGGCTTAGAGAATGGCAGATTTCCTTCAGTAAAAAGTCTGTGAACCGTAGAATGTTTAACCGGTTTCGAATAATCTGGTTCAGCGATCAAAGAAGGAAACTCCTTCAACAATCTTGTATACTTGTTCTCTACTACGAAAATTTTTGGAAGCGAAATGTTACAAACACATGAAACTGTGTTAACCGAAAGACTTGTTACTGGATCAACTAAACGTTTGCATTTCATGTCAATTAAGAGACCGTATTTGCAAAGAAAATCTGCTCCCATAATAGGTTTCGCAATATCAGCTATGAGAAACGTAAATGGGAACTCACGTCTTAAACTTAAATTTATATTTCAAATCTTTTTACCGTACGTTGAAATCGTTGAACCATTGGCTGCAGTAAGTATTATATCTGAAGAACGTTTTGTATGAGGGAATTTTTTTACCGGAAGTATAGAAATTTCTGCTCCACTATCAATCAAAAAATTTAGTTTGTTTTATCAAAAATAAATAGGCGACGTGTGGTAATATCTAAATTTCCATTGTTTGCCGCCACAACAACGGATGACTCTAGTTTAACGAATTTTTGTTTTTAGAAAAAGCACAAGGCTGTTGATATTTCTGAGCCTTACCACCAAATTTGTAATGGTATCTACACAATCAATTTTGACTATCACGAGATTTTGATCTACCTCTTTATGGACTTCTAAAACAATTCCTATTATATGATCTATATCTAGAATTTTGATTAATTTGTTGCTTAATAGAATTTAATTCAAAGGAAAGTTTTTGAAAATTTTCGCACATAAGATTCGTCGTTTTAACTAAATTCTCAATAATTGTGTCTTGTGATTTAGAATTTTGAAAACTATTCACTTTTTTTTATTTTTCACTTGGTTGCTGAAGTAATGAAGAATTGAAAATCTATAAGGGAAAATTATAGTTTTTGTAAGTTTTATCTTAATATCTTAAAAATTTAAGACTTATTGAAAAATGATAAATGAACGTGAGGTACTAAATTTAATAACCCTTAATTTGATATATCGTCCTATTTATAAAAATTAACGCATTCCATAGATATTACCAGCCAAAGTTTCATTTTCAAAATTCGTATACTTTGATGCAATTGCGCGGGCTAAAGATAAGTATTAAATTAATCTTTCGTGGCCAATAAGAATTAACTAAGACCTAAGACAATATAATATTACTATTACCATGCGGTCAAACGACTTTTATTTTCCCCCATACAAAATCGACCCAGCCTACTATTCATAGCTGATATTTCGGTTTTATTAATCACTTCCCAAACATTATCAGCTAGTTTCACCAATTCATTTATATCATGGGTACTTGAACTAGCTAATATCACACTAAGATTTTTTGGCAATTTTCTCAGCCAAAGTTTCTTTAAAATATCTTGACTAAAATTGGAACCTGCAAGCAACATCAGCGACCGATAAAATTCAGAGGCTTTACGATCACCCCTCTCTGAATCTGACAAAATTTTATCTAATTTCTTATTTTCGCTTAAAGAATGCCTTT